GACCAAGGTAATACAATCAAGTAGTACGTTATTAAAAATATATGTTTTAACCCAATTATTATGCAATGTGTCTATCTACCTGTGTTAGAGAGCATTGTTCTACTTATGCTACGTGGCTTCATCTTTTGCATTTTTGTTGTTGTCTTTATAAAGAAACGAATTACGAAGATAGAAAATATAAAAAAATGGCTTACTAAGGGAGTGCTTGCAAGAGATTAAAAAGTATTTTTTAGCATCTGGCTTAAAAAAATTGAAATCGGTGTTTTCAAAAAACAACTTCTGTTCTGCCTTAATATTTTTTACGGTCTTTCATATGACACCAGTATTGTATATATAAAATTTTTTAAAAAATATGAAGGTTTATTAAATCTTCATATTTTCTAACTACACTATCAATTATTCCGTATTAAATGAATACATAATTTCTAATATATAACTAAAATAAGAATAATAGATATAAATATGACTTATTAATTTTTAGTTAATATAATCGTGTTTCCAATTTAGTTACATTGTTGTATATGTAATATTTGTTTTATGAAAGATCATAACAACCATTGGGATGGCGGTTCGGGCTCGGGCCCTTCAAAAGGTGAACCGGCCCGACCGGTTCGGGCCCGGGCCGGGCCAATTTTTTTTTTTTTAATTTTTTTAAAGTTTTTGGGTTGGACTGGGTATTTTGGGCCATTTGAGGTGTCTAGGGTTGGTTTGGGAGTGAGGGGGAGGGTTGGGGGTTAACTAGGAAAAGCCAAAAAAAAAAGAACCGAGGCCGGTTTCGGGCCTCCCCTTCATGAACCGAGGCTCGTCCGGGCCCGAACCGGAACCGGTCCATCCCTGAAACCAAGCAGTCTCTTTCTACCCCACCGGCCCAAAGCTCCTCCGCAATTCGCTATCTTTTGCCATATTCCCCCCTCCCACGTGTAATCCAGCAACCATGAATGACGGACCAGAATGGTCTCTGCTTATGTTCTGCCAGAGGGCCTAAAACTTGGACCTGCAGCATAAGATGGTCGCTAGTGAACCTTCTAATGAGAAGGCTCGGGCGACAGGTCTCTTGCAAAGGAAGGGAGATTTACTTGTCAATCAAAAGTCAGCCAGTGGTAGCAGGTTGCGATATACAGATGCTCTAAATATACATTCGTGTCCCTTCTCAGTGGTAGCAGACTGCAACGAGGCCCCTCTAGCTACTAAAGCTAGAGGTGACACTAGATGTGATATGGTTGAAACTGTACAACGCCCGGTGCCTTTTGAGTTTGATGAATCTCGGCGGCCACCCTGCACGAGGCAGTAACCGAGGATACTCATCAATTAATTACTTGTGAAGATGGCAATGATACGTTTGTGGCCAAAATAGGAAATGATGAGACCCTATTTGATCCAACGCTTGATTGCGCAAATACTACATTTGTCCCAAACCTGTCCAGTGATGAAACAGGGGTGAAACTTTTTCTGAGAACTCCCAAGAAAAAAAAATCGTTTCAAGTCATGAAGATAATCATACAATTGAAGTCACTGAAGACGAACAACTATACTACGAGGTGGGATATTCATCTCATTCCATGATCACCAGAACTCAATCAAAAAGACCCTAAAATGAAATAGACTACTTTCTCTACCCGGTTGACGAGAGGTTCGACTCACCGCAAAAACTAGCAACAGCTCTCAAGCGCTTCAAGTTATCTCGTCCGGAGGAAACAACATTCAGACCTTATCTTAAGAAGGTCATCAGGTTTCACAACAAATATAACAAATCGATTTCGGCATCAATGGAGATCCCCTCGAAAAATTCAATTGGTGATGTACCATTTATTGTTTCTTCCATTTGTATTGTTCTTCCTGTTTAACCAAATGTATGCTCCAAACTTTTGTACTCAAAACTTTTGTACTCACCCCACCTAGTGTGACCTTAAAAAAATCAAAAGTCAACCCAAAAAGAGTAAACCCTACAAACGGATCCCACAATCTGCAAAATAAAAACGCAAGGCTCTTCCACCGAAGAGAGAAATACTCACTGAGCCAGATAGTTAGCAAAACTACCGCCGGTAAAACTAAAGCCTAGGAACGGATCTCTCCGCCAAGTACCAAATCTGCCGCGCTCTTTTCTAAGCCTAGTTAGCTTTTTTCTATTTTAAACGCGTAACATTTTTTTGAACAAAAAAACACGTTTAAAATGAAAAATAATGTCGGTCCGTTTAAAAAGAAAAAAAAACTCTTACTTCCCGTATTAAACGTATTTTTCCCGTGTTTTACTAAAAATAGAAACATGAATTGATCAATTGAATGAACGCATTAAACGCATATGAGATCAACAATATATAGTGTAGAACCAAAAAAAAACTCCTCTTTGTGATCTCATGTTTTTGTATTGTTACAATACAATTATTAAATACTAAAATTAATTGCATGATGGCTTAAGCTTGCATCCCTTAATTTACAAAAAATAAAAACATGAATTGATGAATTGAATGAACACATTAAATGAATATATAGGGGATCAACAATAATTTAAAAGAAAAAAAGAAAGCTCATCCATGTGACCTCATGTTTTTGTATTGCTAAAATACAATTATTAAATACTAAAATTAATTGCATTGCGGCTAAAGTTAACATTCTTAAAGACTAAAACTTAAAATACTACAGAGTACTAGATTTCTGATGTTTCTTCAAACAAGCATATCAAAGTTAAAGTTTTTCTGAACCTGACATTTTTTAGTATAAATTTTTACAAACAATAAGAAACGCGCGTAGCAGTCACATATGTCATCCGTCATCTTGATGGAAATGATGAATTTAAATTAAGTGTTATTTGATGATCATATAAAGATAATCATTTTTACTTAGTCTCAATCTATTTTTTTTATGTCTTATTTGTTGACATTAGTTTACAAAATCATGTCTTGGACTTAATTACTATTTTTTTTTGTCATCGACTTATGCAATTACGAATTATTCTTTTATGTAGTAATGAGATTTGCTACTTGAATATGTGTATACTTTTATGTCTTTTTACCATATATGTTCTTTTGTAAAGTATATAATTTTTTAGAATATGTGTATACTTTTATGTTCTTTTGAATATGTGTATACTTTTATGTCTTTTTACCATATATGTTCAAAATACTACCCGTATTTTTTGTCCGAATTTTTGTAACAGATACCGTATTGTACACGTATACGTATTTACACGTTTTTTAAAAGTCAACGTTTTTTAAACGAATTTTTGACCATTTTTTCATTAATGTTATCGAATAAAACGCGTACGTATTAAACCTCATTTAATTCCCGTACTGTATTTAACTAACTATGATTCTAAGAATATTACCTTTTTCCCACCTTATTTTTGTAGTAATCGAAATATAGTAGGCTCCTTCCAAATGTCTAATTAGGAATAATTACCATCATGTTTTGAAAATATTATCATTTATGGTAGTATAATGTCATTTTTAAAACCTGATAATGCCTAAACAATTTCTTATGTTGAAGTTAGTTCCATTTATTTATTTATTAATTTATTTTTGTAAAATGTAAACCAGTTTCATTGTGCTTTTCCATTTTTCGGTTAACTGATTATTCAGCGTCAAAATGTTGGTTAATCAAGACCCAATTAGCCGAAATAATAATATGACTAATTGTATTTAGCCGTACAAACTGATTAACATCCCTACTAATTACCATTGCCCAGCTGGGCCAGCTGCCCTTGCAAAAGTACAAATCACTACAAAACTACACTTCGTGTAAGAAAAAACAAATTTCAGATACTTTTATATTTGGAAGATTATATACTCCGTATAACTTTCGAAAAATTGAATACAACAACATTCAAGCCTTAATCCAAAAAGAATTTGGGATCAGCTAACATGAATCGATGATATCGATGCCAAACAGAGAAGACCGACAAAAAAGGGAAGGAAAAAAGTAAGATAAAACAAAAAAAAATAAAGATAAATAAATATAAGATAACAATAACACAAGAAAATATAAGAAAGATAAAAGAAAAATAATAAAAGAGAATAAAAAAGCTAGAAGATAAAAATAACATAAGAATATAAAAAGATAAAGAAGATAAACGCTAAAAGAAAAAAGAGAAGAAAGGTAGAGTAGACATCAATCGTTCACACGAATGTGCGCCCTCCACTTTGCCCTCTCTAAAGTCATTCTCTCATCCAACCCAAGAAAACGTATATCAGTTCTGATTCCTCTAATCCAAGTCTGTTTGGATCTTCCTTTTCCTCTCTTCTCTACCTCTTCTCCCCACCCCTCAAAGCTCAAGTCATCTAACAGGTGCATCACTCGATCTTCTACACACATGCCCAAACCAGCGCAAACGAGACTCCTGCATCTTATCTTCTATAGTTCTATAGGTGCTACTCTCAACTTTTATCTGATTATCTCATTCCTCAAGCGGTTTTTTCTGGTATGTCCACACATCCAACGCAACATACGCATCTCTGCGACACTCATCTTTTGAATGTGGCATTGCTTTACCGCCCAACAATCTACGACATACATTAATGCAGACCTAATTGATGTTCGATAAAATTTACCTTTCAGTCTAGTCGGCATACCTCAATCGCATAGAAATCCTGAAGCACTCTTCCATTTCATCCACCCACCTTTGATTTTATGGCATACATCTCCATCTAATTCACCATCCTTCTGGATTATGGAGCCCAAGTAACGGGAAGAAAAATCTTGGGCAAAACTTTTTGGAGAAGAATATATAAGAAACTTTTGAATGTGGAAGAGAAATCTTGGGCAGAACTTTTTGGAAAAAAATATATAAGAAAATTTTGACTGCTCGATCATCTTCGCCATTCATATTTCAAGTAAGAACAAAATTACCAGTTCCTATGGATTTTTGTTGTTAGTCCACCTGAACAATTAGAAGTTTTCCTTTTGTTCCTACAGCAGTTTTCTTTATCAACTGGAGGTCGGTGGGGTGAATAGGGATGGATTTTTCCACCCGAAGGGTGATTATATATACGGTATACCCACTTTGGCCCCCTTCCTAATTCCTAATTCCTATACTTGCTGATTACATATGAAGAGTGAAAAGGCCAAAATTTAATTCTTATGACTTACAAACAGCATGGGGTTACATCAGCCTAACAGCATGGCAACAAACCATTTACCTTACACATAGGAAAACATGAAGCAAAACTGCACATTTATATGCAGCATAATTGAAAACAAATTCTGCCAGGGTGATTAAAACCGTTGTTGCATGGTTAACGGAGTACGATGACAGCGTTTGGTGAGGATCTCGGGTAACCAAGCAATGTTTGAATTACCTCGACAAAGTGAGTTGTATATTCAACATCAATCACCATCTTCTCCAATACTGTTGCTCTCTTCAGCAGAATTTGGGCCAATGTCATCATCGGTTCACCAGCAAGATTTGGATCAGGGCAGATTGTGATATGAACATACTTCAGATGCAAAAGGTCGCAATCCAAATCACACTTTGCACCGGGGCATAAAGTCACAGCTTCCTAAAAGAACAAGGTAAATTCTAAAGCCAATGATAATTTAAATATATTGAAAAGTAAGTTTGTTTGGTGGCATACAAAGCAATGGTCTCGCATGATTCCTATAACGATAGGTAGAGAGGTGCAGACTTGCAGAAATGTTTTCATTTTTCAAGTGAAGGAGAAGATGACTTGCAATTTAGTTATTGACAGAAATTAAAATATCATATTAAGATGTTCTCTCTTTTATGCTTTTATCACCGATTCAAATTCATGATCCTCTCTTGCACTTTAGAAAAAAATTACCTGGCAAAGCAAGACGCAATCTCACACCAACATAGGCAAATCTATATATGAGCCTCAAACCATTATATGCCAGATTAATTGTCATAAGGTATGCTTGTGGGATTGCAAATCTACTATGTTGTTTACTCTTTTGACCCTAACGCAAGCTTGTCACGGCGGATGGCGATCCCCATGGCACAAAGGTATTTTTCATGGCGCACGGCGATGGTGCATATACGAATAAGGCGACGACCATTTTTTCATGGCAATGTCGCATATGGCGTGCACCATATCTCGCCATTGACAACTATGCCCTAATGTCCTATACTTTTCCATATAAAATATTTTGTGGCTGTTAATTTCTTTATTTCTACCGTCTTCATTGCTATCTCATCAACTATGTTGTGTTAGATTGACATGCTTTAATAATTGGCTTTCACTTCATTCACCATTACAAAGTTTTTGGTGAACTTTTTCTACTCCATAACTGAGATTCCAGTCGACGTCATTTTAAATAATTCATTTCAACTCCTTTGATCTTTTACCTATCCATCAGTTCTGTTCCCAAAATGCATAGGATTACCTGTTGAAGAGATGCACTAATCATGCCTACACTTGCAAACCTTTTTCTGGAGCTAAACATTACCGTGCATAGGATAGCTTAATTTAGTAAAGACTACAGAAAAAGGTTTGCAAGTGTAGGCATGATTAGTGTATCTCTTCATTTGGAATTGTTAGGTTAATTTCTTAATTTTAATTGGATGTTTCAAAAGGAAATAGCATTAATGGAGGGGTTAGGATCGCAAAGGAAAAGATGATTTGCTCATACGCACACACAAGATGCCTATTTACTTTAATTGCATGGGAGATTTTGTTGTTTTTTAGCCTGAGCAACATGAATGGGCTAAAAAATAGATGATACATCTATCTGAAGGAGTGTTTGCAAGAAATTAAAAAAAGAAGCACTTTTCAGCTTTTGGCTTTAAGAAAAGTTCAAATGGTTGTTTTCAAACACCTACTTCTACTTAAATTAAGCACTTTAAAGCTAAAAGTTGGAAGAAGTTCAAATGGTTTTTTTCAAACACCTACTTCTACTTAAATTAAGCACTTTAAAGCTAAAAGTTGGAAGCTGGTATAGAGGCGCTTCTAACTGCTTATAGGTATTCTTGTAAATAACTCACAACTCTAAGGATAATTATAATACCAAATATATTCACACAAAACCCAAAACACCATCCATCCCTAATTCCTTTAATTCCGGCTTCAGCATTTCTTCGCCACTGTCAGAGCCTCTCTCATAACCCTGACGAACTGTTCTTTCTATATACATATTACATACGTGGGCTATTATTTCCAGAAGTTTGGACAAACTTTCATCCGATGAGTCCAACCATTTGCAAAACATAGTGGGCTATTATTTATTAATAAAGGAAAGGGATTGTGGGGTATTATTTTAATAAGGGGATATACGAATTAAAGGAAAAACACAGCCCTGGGTTTTAGGTTGAGCATGGCAGAGAGAAACCCAGGAAGAAAAATAAAAGGCCACTGGGGTTGGTTTCCTGGTCCGTCAAAATCCCTTTTTCATTAAGAAAAAATAGAAGGTTGCGGGGTAGGCAAAATGCTGGGAGAGAAAGAAGAGGTTGCAGGGGTTGGCTTCTTGCACGCCGGCAGTTTTCTCTCTTTCATGCTCATTTTGGATTCTTCAATTAATTTATAGTTTTATACAAGGGTATTTTGGTACATTAAAAAATGTTACATCCAAAAGCACTCTTTTTACCAAACACTTCAACTTTAACTTTTTCACTTTAATCACTTCTATTATAAAATACTTTCAGCTTTTGCTTTTAAGCACTTTCTCTAAAATCACTTTAAAAAATCATTTTTAAAAGTTGAAGCATTCGCAAACACTCTAAATCACATTCTACCCCTAAAACTAGATATTACCAACCAGCTTCTTTCATATTTTAAATAACTTTTTTTCTTTAGAAACATCTTAATCCAATGAATTGTCAGGTTTATTACTAGACTTGAAGTTATAAAAGCATATTGTTGGCATGCCTTGAACTCCCTCGTGCAGACCTGTACAGGGTCTTACTGCCGAGTCAGAGGTCCATATTCCACCCAGGTTTGGGGATTAACGGGTAAGAAGTATCCCTGATGACTTTCATGGTGTATATTAAATTAGGTCTAGGTTTTCTGCTCTGGGTTATCTACTCTATATATTATTCCCGAGTTACTCGGCGAGTTTCTCAATTCGGGGAAGTTCTCAACTCGGCGAGTTACTCGGCCAGGCCTAATTTTTTTATTAAATTTGAACAGTTTTAAATTGAGGGATATTATGTAATTTATAAACAATGAGTGGGTATCTTAAAAATTGGAAATAAGCCTTAAAAAGTCTAGGTTTAAAAGTATTTCATACATCTGCTCATTTCAGCAGTGATTCCTCCTCATCTTTAGGTAAGTTATTCTCCTCCATGGCTCTATCTTTTTTCCCGTTTCTTCTTCATTAGGTTTTTTCTAATTAAGAATTATAAGAATCATATATTACTATAAAGTTGGATATTTATATTTTTAAAGTTAATCAATATAGGACCCAGTAATCCCAAGTACTAGGTCCTACTCGCTGCTCGGCCCTTAACCTAGTTGCTACCGAGTAGCGATTTAACGACTAAGCTTCTGTTTTGGGCTTATTTCGTAGTCCTAATCGGTTAAGCATTACAGGGTGTCTACATAAAGGAGGCATATGTATAAACACAGTATTCTGCTCCGATCAGTAATATATCCTCACTCTTTCCAACTTTTCCACATCAGGTCAAAACACATGTAAAAGCATTTTAACAGTGTTTCCCTCAACTCTTTTTGCACTAATTACTACTCCCTAAGCCTCTCAAAAGTTCCACTAAGTTTCTACACTGTTAAGAAATTAAATTGACGGGAGTAATTTAATGCTTTTTAGAGCATAGCACCATTTGTTAATTCAAAAAAATAGGAGAGAGAACGCAAAAAAGTAGGAGATTTATGATCATTTACAAATCTTTATTTTTTACTTAATAAAACATTGAACAAGTCTTTGTTTACATCCTTGAAGGGAAAGACGAGCAACTAGTGAATGAAGGAAAAAGTTTAAGGTCATTAGGTTATTCATTTCAACAAACTGAGTTCTACGGGAGATAAGAAGAAACTCAAGATGAAATAAAAACTGTTTTTTTCAGATTCGATCATCTCCTTTTTGCCCAAAGATCTATACTTATGGTCCACAGCCCACAGGTCCACTAGGCCAAGTAATAGTGTACTGTGTACCCACATTATTTATTCAAGGATCTTTCAACCCCAATTCAACCATGTTCATACCCGGCCCATTGGTTCTTTTTCACCCAGGATTCGGCTTTCTCTCTTATGCGATTAATTCTTCCGCCTTCCTGGTTTGGTTCATCGACAAATCCCTTTTCCTTGTATGTGCTTGCGCAATCTCTTTGTATGGTAACTTCCATCTTTGCTCTATTGCTTCACCTATTAATATCGATCCTCTCAGCCGATGGGAAGGCTTGCCGAAACCTCTCTTCACTTGAACTCTGACCTTCGCCTCGTTGTTCGCTGGACGAATTGGCCTGACATAGTTTGTTGGTTGTTGCCCAATTCTTCCCTGGAGATCCTAGTAGTGATTTAACATCCTTTGTGGATGTAAACTAAGGAGACCTGAGCTGGATTTCGCCCAAACAAGTGGCATCAGAGCCATCGGAGGTTCTGCCGCAGCTTGCCGCTGCCGACCGCCACCTTTCAGAAGTCACCGGAGCTGTCCAGACCTTCTGCCAGAGTCCAGGGAGTTCTGCCGCCGGACCAGACTGCTGTTGCCGCCAGGGAGGTGCCGCTGCCGCCTTCCAGCCACTGTCACCGAGCTCTACAGCAGCCCACGCTGCCTACAGTAAGTCGGGTAACCCAACATCAGGCCCCACTCAGGAAAATTTGTTTTAAACTGTACTTGGTGCACCGGAGTGCCACCGGATTTATTTTCTCCCCCGCTCCCCCGCTGCTGACCTACGTGGTCTAGGACGCCGGCTGTGCTTGGCCCCAGGTACGTTTGCTTGATCCTAATCCTTTGTGTGGTTATTGATTGTTCATTCATTATAATTTTCAAGTTGAATTGCGATTAATTGCTTGTTTGAATCGTTGATTAATTTTGGCGGTTAAGAATATTTTGTTTGGATACTCATTGTCCAAAGTTGTGAATACTTCTTCTATCCGGTTGAAATTTAATTCTGTGTTGAATTTTGATCTTCTGTCTATTGATTCGTGGATAAACTTTCCGGTGAAGAATATTTGTTTGAATACTTGTTGTCCGAAGTTGTGAATATTTCTGTCCGGTTTAGTTTTAATCCCGTTTCATTACTTGTTGATTAATTTTAGCCTATTTGTGCTTGCACCCGAGTTTTGTGCTCATTGGTCTTCTCGGCTTGTTCGTGCTAGTTGCTTTGTATTGTTCGTAGCCTGATAAATTTTATTTACTCTCTTGCTCGTTGTGCTTGCTTTTCTGCTTAGATGATTGTCACTCAATATGGTATGCTTCCATTTAACGGAAAGACAGACTTTGATATGTGGAACAGAAAATCAAATGCGTGTTGATCCAACAGAAAGTCTATAGAGTTGTGACTGGTCTCTATTTAGACTCTGAGGATGCTGCAAATCGCGTTGAGATGAATGAAACTGCTTGTTCCTTTATATACCTAAACCTTTCTGATTCAGTGCTCAGGAAGGTGGGTATTATAGATTCTGCAAAGGAATTGTGGGATAAGTTAGACAAGTTGTATACCGATACTTCTTTGCCTGGTAAATTGTTTTTGCTTGAGAAACTCTTTAGATTTAGGCTTGACCTGACTAAAGACATAGATGAGAACCTAGATGTGTTTAACAAGCTTATTCAGAATATTAAGCAAGCCGATGATGAACACATAGATGACTACAAACCCATATTGTTACTTAATGTCATCCATGACTCTTACAATGACGTCAAAAATTGCTATAAAGTATGGTAGAGATGATATCTCGTTAGACATAGTCGTTAATGGATTAAGAAGTAAGGAGTTAGACCTTAGACACTCGAGGGGTAGTAACGGTCAGTCTAGGGACTCTGGTGAAGCGTTGCTTGTGAGGGGTAGGTCTAAGAGTAGATCTAGAAACCATAAGAAGGGTAGCAACACTAAGAACCAAAACAATAATAATGACACGCGTAAGAAGAGAGGTAAGTCTAAGAAAAGAGAGTGCTATAATTGTGGGAATTCTAGCCACTTTATTAAGGATTGTCCTCACCCCAAAAAGTTTGAACATGCTAATGTGGTAGATGATAATAACTTGCATGATGAAGTTTTTATGATTTGTGATTTTGCCAATTATGTGTTGAGTAACATGACTGAAAATGATTGGTTGATTGACTCTAGTTGAGTAATGACTCTAGTTGAAGATGATAATTACTTATCATATGTCACCTTTTAGATCCATGTTTTCTTCTTATGATTCTTGCAATGATGGTTTTGTGTCTCTTGCTCATAACAAGAACTGCAAAATACATGGGGTGGGTGATGTATGTTTGAAGTTTGATAATGGGATTGTGTTTACTATGAAAAATGTGAGACATGTTCCTAATTTGCGTCATAACTTGTTTTCTGTCGCTGCTTTTGAGGGTAGTGGGCTTGAGGGTAAATGGGAAATGAGTGCATGAAAGTTTTGAAAAAATCCCTTGTTTTGTTTATGGCAAAAAGGTGAATAAATCTGTGATTCTGCTCATGTTGTTAGTTCTGATAAAACTGCTTTGTGGCATAATAGATTAGGACACATGAGTAGTAAGGGTTTAGAGATTTTGAATAAATCTGGTTGTTTTCGTAAGGATTCTGTGTCCTCCATCCCTTTCTGTGAATCTTGTGTGTTAGGCAAGCAGCATAAGGTTACATTTTCCTCCTCACCTTATCCTAATCCCACTAAGTGTACCTCTATGTTAAAGTATGTTCATGCTGATGTGTGGGATCCTGCTAGTGTCTCTACCCACGGGGGTAAGAGATATTTTCTGTCCATTATCGATAATTTTTCTAGGAAGGTGTGGGTCCGTCTCCTTGAGCATAAGTCCGATGTCTTTGTGAAATTTAGGGAATGGAAAACCCTTGTAGAAAATCAAACTGGTAAGAAGGTCAAAACCCTTAGGATAGATAATGGTCTAGAGTTTTGCAATAAGGATATGGACCAACTCTGTGTTGATTGTGGGATTAGAAGGCACAAAATTGTGCCCTATACTCCCCAAAAAAATGAGATAGCTGAGAGAATGAATAGGACTGTTCTAGATAAGGTTAGGAGTATGCTTGCTACTTCCGGTTTGTCTAAAAAGTTTTGGGGCGAAGAATTTAATACTGCCGTTTACTTGATTAACCAGTCTCCCTCTGTTCCCTTGGGTGGGAAATGCTCTGAATCTGTTTTCTCAAACAAGCCCCTTGATTTGTCTAATCTTAGAGTGTTTGGGTGTGCTGCGTATGTACATCAACAAGGTGACAAATTGGATCCTAGGTCTAAGAAAGGAGTCTTCTTAGATTATCCTGAGGGTGTGAATGGGTACAGGGTTTGGGATAGAAACCAGGTAGGTTTCAAAGTTGTGGTAAGTAGAAACGTTGTTTTCAATGAATCCGAGTTTCCTTGTCTGGTTAAGTCAGTGATTCTGAGTCAAGCCCTAATAGTACACCTGTTGAGGTGGAGTCCATACCATATGTTGCTAGTCCTTTGTTTGCTAATCATGATTCTTCTGAGCATGATAATACCACCATTTCGAGTGAGGTGTAGCATTTTCATGTGCATTCAAATGACAATGAATCGCATGATGAGAATGTTGATTCTAGTGAAAATGATTTGCATGATTACCAATTTGCTAGAGATAGAAGTAGGAGAGTAATTAGGAGAACTGCGAATAGTATGCCTGACTTTGCTTTCCAGGTGTGTGATACTTCTATGTTTGCTTTCTCTGTGTTTGAGACCCTTGAGCTTAACGAACCAAGAACCTATAGAGAGGCCTTAAGTCTAATGAGTCCGCTAAATGGCTTTGCGCCATGAAAAGTGAGATGGAATCACTTAGAGCGAATAAGACTTGGACATTAGTTCCTAAACCACCCAATAGAATGATGCTTGCTCTTGTTACTCATAATGATTGCGAAATGAAGCAAATGGACGTCACCACTACTTTGTTGCATGGTGATTTAGACAAGAAAATCTATATGATCCAGTATGAGGGTTTTGTGGATCACATGAAGAGTGATCATGTGTGTTTGCTTAGGAAGGCTTGTACGGCCTAAAGCAGTCTCCGAGGCAATGTAATATTAAATTTGACCGGTGCATGTCATCTTTGAAATTTCACAAGTCCGAGTGCGACCATTGCCTATACTTTAAAAATACTTCTTCTGTGCCTGTATTTTTATTGTTATATGTGGACGATATGTTGATTGTTAGTCCTTCGGGTGACGCCATTAAATGTGTGCAAAAGCGTCTCAGTGAGAACTTTGTGATGCCAAGAGGATCCTAAGCATTATCATTGTTAGGGATAGGAGTAAACGTGTGTTAGTACTCAATCAGATTTCATATATTGAAAAGATTTGGAGTAAATATAATATGCATTCTGCTACTCCCGTCTTTATTCCTATGGTGTCCCACTTTGTGTTAAGTAAAGATCAATCTCCCAAGACTGCTCCTGAAATTTCTAAAATGAAATATGTGCCTTATTCCAATGCTATTGGGTCCGTGATGTATCTCATTGTGAGTACTAGACCTGACATTGCCTATGTTGTTAGTTGTTTGAGTAGGTATATGTCTAACCTCGGTTTACTTCATTGGAATGCTCTTAAGTGGTTGTTTAGGTATTTGAAATCTACTATTAATCATGGGTTGATTTTCACTAGGTGTTCTGAGGGTGTTAAGTTGAGTGGGCATGTGGATTCGAATTTTGCTAACGATAGAGACAATATGAAATCCACTACTTCTTATGTGTTTACCCGTTGTGGGTCGTGCATTAGTTGGAAGTCTCAACTTCAACCCATTGCTGCCCTTTCCACTACTGAATCTGAGTATGTGGCCGTTATCGAAGCGTTTAAGGAAGCCATTTGGCTTAAGCGTCTCCTAACGGAGATTGGTTTTCTGAAACAAGACATTTGTGTGTTTTCTGATAGTCAATCTGCTATTCAACTGTGCAAAACCCCTGTTTTTTATGATAGAACTAAGCATATTGATGTTAAATTTCATTTTACACGTGATATTGTTAGTGCAGGTGATATCAAGTTGATTAAAATTCCATCTAAATTTAATCCTGCAAACATTGATTGCGGATAAGTTGCCTGGTGATCTTTCCCCTTTTGTCTGAATGTGTCTCTGTGATCATTCGGGCAATCCAACGATGATGAGTCTCATGTATGTATTAGATTTTTGACTCTACTCTACTAGGGTCCAATAAGGTGGAGAATGTGTTGATATTGGCCCATTATTTCCTTAAGCCTAATTCAACCATGCTCATACCCGACCCATTGGTTCTTTTTCTCCCTGGATTCGGCTTTCTCTCTTATGAGATTAATTCTTCCGCCTTCCTGGTTTGGTTCATCGACAAATCCCCTTTCCTTGTGTGTGCTTGCGCAATCTCTTTGTATGGTAACTCTTCCATCTTTGCTCTATTGCTTCGCCTATTAATATAGATATTAATATAGATCCTCTCTGCCGATGGGAAGGCTTGCCAAAACCTCTCTTCACTTGGACTCTGTCCTTCGCCTCTGTGAGGTTGTTCGCCGGACGAATTGGCCGGACATAGTTTGTCGGTTGTTGCCCAATTCTTCCCTGGAGATCCTAGTAGTGATTTAACATCCTTTGTAGATGTAAACTAAGGAGACTTGAGCTGGATTTCGCCCCAACAGTACCCACATTATTTATTTAAAGATCTTTTAGTAACCAATTACACATAATTGGACGCGAATTGTAGTGTTCAATAGCTGAATATGTTCTTTGTATTGTGATAGTAATTTTGCATTTTTACATAATAGCTAATAAGTTGAACCACTGACAGATAAAGCACACTTTGACTTCTTCTCCAACATTTATCAAAGTTTGATTCCATAGTTTTGGTTAGCACATAACAAGTAATTAGTATATATTATGTCACTGAAGATTTCTGTCATATCCATGAACGAGTTTCACTTAAAACATATGCTTGTGCATATAAATAAGATTTTTTCATGGAATTTATCATGGTAAGAAAAACTTAGATACACATGCAACTATATGTAGAGGATTACAGTCTATCCTCGTAAAAGATTTGGTTAGCTTTTCCCAAAATTTATCTATAACACTGCATGTTGTTTGTTTTTAGAAAAGAATTCATGCCTTGAATGAGAACAAGAGCACTTACATCATCAGGTTCATAGCCCGTTACAACCAACTTCTCAATGCTTGGAGAAGATTCCAGCAGGAATAAGATGCCAGAGATGATCTGCTCATTGCATGTAGTATTTACTATCAGAGAACCTCGCTTGGATTGTGGAAGCTCCCATCCATTCATTGCCAACATTGAGAAAACCTTATGCATGGTTGCAGAAACAGATAAATAATATATCAGGAGATATTGTTAGGTTACAGACCTAATCACCTTGATTCAAGAAACTAGCGATGAAGAGAAGATATGTGCGTAACAATAGAAAGCTTCGTATAACAGAAAATAGAAAGAGAAAATACAAGATAGTTCCAAGTCCCAAGTCCCAAGCCCAAAGGATAATTCCAGCCTCCTCTCTATTCTACCCTCCACCTCTATTTACACTAATTCTAATACTCTTCTTATTTTTTATTATTCTATGTAGGTCCCTAACAGATACATGAGTGCCATGAACAACATAACAATAATATGATTTTAATTAATCATCAAATACTCGCGTTTGACCCACACACAAGCACCTGGTTATCGAATAGCTTTCCATCATTGCTCTAATAAAATAGGAAATATTGGCAATGTAGAAAAACTTGAATAATTTCTGCTGCATATTACACAAAATTCACTACTTGTTTGGAACTAAAACTACCCTACTCTCAAATCTCACCCATATTACTTGCATCCAACGGTTCATGACAAATATAATTCCATCCCAGTCTTGATGGTCTCGACTCCAGAAGCAGATTAAGAATTTCTTTGATGATATAACTTTTGTCAATGAGCAACTTCATACATGAAATAAAATAAAGGTGGAATTGTTAAAAAGAATATCTTCCAATATAGAAGTTGTCCAGAAATAAAGCTATTTAGTTTTTGTTTCCCAAATTTTTATGTTTTTCAACCCACAAGAAAGAAGATATAATACGTATAAATTTTTATTCAGTTTGTTCCATATGTTAATCAAATAAAACTTAAAATAGTATATTGCTTTTGTGGTTTATGAAAATGTTTCACACTGTCAACGGATGTCTACAGTCTACCCAAAGTTCACAGACATGGAAAGGACATCATCAATGGCATTGTAAAATATCTAGAAAGTTTGGCTAGTTGAAATGGATTAGAAGAGAAAAAATAGAACCGCAACAGCAACAACCAAGAATAACACTCTCAAATCATTGGTGTCCGTTTTTCCATGAGCAAGAATATGTTTTAAAAAAATAGTAGAAACCTTAATGCAATAGCTTCTCAACTCAAGCTCTTCGACATGCAGAAGGTTTGCAAGAAGATCTTTCATATTACCCATCACCTCTACCGAACTAGCGTCCCAATCAGATCCGGCGAAATCAATATTAGCTTTAACAACAGAAGGGATGTTAGTTACACTCCATTTTCTTCCTCTGGGGTATGGAGTAAGAAGTAAACATTCCGTTAGGGGTGCTGAAATTTCCAGCAAAGGATCACTGATTCCATCTTCAGCGTCCCCTATCCCAAGTACATCAAGTTTTTGAGTCTTCACTTCAAAACGATTGAATCCCCAACATGATATTAGAAGCAAATTAGTCAAAAGAGGACATCCTGATAATATTTTATCAATTATATGTTGAGGCAACTCCATTTCCTCAAGGAACAATCTAGTCAAAGATTTCCACTCAATATTTCTTCGAGGAGCCATGATGCATCTCCTAAACCTCAACCGTTCAAAGGATGCATTGCAAAACAGCAGCTGAGGCATCTTATATAAATCTTTGGAGGGTGAGGGGTTTAGCAGCAAAGATAATTCCATCACCTCACTTTTGATAGCATTAGCAACCTAAGCATAAACATCAGAAGCAAAGCGTTCATAGTAAGTGAACTCCATCTCAAAGTTCCACAAAAAGACCGAGTTATAAATGACAAGGAGCCTATTAACCCAAGACACAAACTTGCTTATTGTCTCAATTTCTTCACTGCTCTCACAGAATTTGAGCTCTGGACTAAATAACCAGAGAAGCTTCCATCTTTTGGACAACACACTAGTAATCACAGCGTCCTTTGTGTCCAAACGTGAGATGATGCCAATAAGCAAGAAAATAGGCAACACACTGATCCGGTCAACTGGCGGTACGGTCGCTACCTTGAGCCGTTTCTTTGGTCGCGACAATGATTTTTTTTCTTTATCATCTTCAGTCTCTCCTCCTACTTCTTCATCTAACTCCCTGGCTTCATCTTCCTCTATTAATTCTTCATCTTCCTCCACTTCTTCTTCTCCGGTCCCTTCTATTTCTTCTTCTTCTCCGACCTCTTCCATTATTTCTTCATCTCCAAATTGTTCTTCCGCCTCTGCAATTTCTTCTTCTCCGGCCTCTTCCATGTCTTCTTCTCCAAATTGTTCCTCATCTTCACCAACTCCATCTCTTCGGTCAAAACCTTCCTCTCCAAATTCTTGTTCTATATCATCGCTCATTGCAGCGTGACACAGGAATCACAAGCAAGACTTTAATTTAGAACAGCCGCGGGTGATACCGCCTCAGCTACCTATGCTTGCCCTCGTCCAACTTTTCCCCTTAATACCCTTTCTCCTAAACGTTTTCTCACGGCAATTTTGGCTTAGGTACCCCATTTTATACCCCATTTTATACCTCATATCAAAGCTTCTTTTTTATCATCCTTTTTACCCTCTTTCTAAAAACTCTACCCCTCCCCACTTTTCTTCTCCTTCCCTCCCTCTCTCCTCCATCTTCTCTTTTCACGCAGCCCCCCATCCCCTTCCCTTTCTCTCTCTTTTTCCAAATCTTGATTTCTTCTCCATTTAAAGATCTCTCCCCATCAAGTCTTCTCATTTTTACGATCTTTTCTCCTCTAAGCTTCTTCTCCTGCTTCTCTCCTCGTCTGCCTTTTTTTCCGTTCCAAATGGAAAAGCTACGGTAATCGGATGAAGGGGAGAGCTCGGTGACGTGGGGAGACAACGACGAAAGTGCAGATCAAGAAGCTTCGAATGACTTGAGCAGATCTACTTTTCTTGTTTTTTTCTTGATTTTTTGGTGTGTTTTTGAAAAAATGGTTGTCTGTCTAACAGACAACTTGTAAGTGCAGTGTCTGTATTTGTTAGTCCAGGAAAATAGTATGTTGTTTTTCATCATTTGTTTGTATTTTGTTTGGCGGATAGACAATTTGGAACTGCAGTGTCTGTCTAGCATAAAGTGAACGTGGTTTCATAGTTGTGTAAAGTGAACGTGGTTTTTATAGTTGTTAGAGTCGTACATAAAATGTGTGTGTGGCCAAACAACTTTAAATGTATGTGATTTTGTTTGGAAACATGGTTGTATGGGTAATGTAGTTTTTATATAAATGCGTGTGCCTTTTTTTTGAAACATGGTTGTATTGGTAATGTGAAGACAAATGTGGTGAATGAATTACATATGTAAAGACATATGTATGCATATATTATTGTTTGTTTATAGAGACAAAATGATAATTGTTTGTTGAAGTGAACATGTATATTTTTCTAAAATAACATAGTAAGAGGAAGAACATATTTGTATTACAGTCCCGTTGTTGGTATGGAGTTCCCTAGTAAAGATGCGGTGTATGATTTCTACAAGGACTACTCTCTGTCTTACAACCAGACAAATTTTGTCTTGGCCAGACATTAGTAGTCTGGGACAATTAACTACTCTATGTCCTACAGCCAGACAAATTTTGTCTTAGCCAGACATTAGTAGTCTGGGCCAATTAAGTACTCTTTGTCGTATAGCCAGACAAATTTTGTCTGGGCCAGACATTAGTAGTCTGGGCCAATTAAGTATTCTCTATCTGGGTATCTGTGGTATTGTCTGTATGTGTAAAGTTATTGTCTTTCTACATGAAAATAATGTCTGTATGGTTATCTCTATTGTCTGTCTAGATATATGTATTGTTTGTCTATTCACAACAAAGTACCGTTTGTATGTGTAACCTTATGGTCTGCATGTTTATATTTAATGCCAACAATGGTAATCACCTATGAAGCACGGATACTTCCCTAGGGTAGCGTATCGACGTATCGGATACGTTCCCGTATCCAATACTCTAGGATACTCGTACCGTATGTTCCCGATATCTGAAATTTTTAAAAGTTTCCATTTTTTTGTAATTTTTTGAAAGTTTCCGATACTCGTATCCTGACGGATACCCGTATCATTGGAAGTTTTTTTGGAAAATGATATTATTTCTGGAAATTAATACTTCGAGTGAAAATATGTATTAGATGTTAGAGCTTTTAAAATATTGTTTTCTATCTTAATTATTCTAGAACTTTGGTACTTGCACTTTTAATTTCAAGATTGTAGTTGTTTGACTTATTTCTCATTTTAAATTAATGACTTACCGACTACATGTCTACATTTATATTTCGAGATGCACTAGTGTATATGAGAAATATTATGATGTATATGTAATAAATGGGTATATATGTATATATAGGATATATATACATATATACCCTATATAACTATTTTTAATATTTATAAATACACCCCTGTAACTTTTAATATTTGTAAATACACCCCCATAACTTTTAATATTTAAAAATATGGCCCTGTATCCGTATCCTACTTTTTTTGTTTTGCCGTATCCCCATACCCGTGTCCGCGTTTCCGCGATTCCGCGTACCGGTATCGGTGCTACATAGGTAATCACCAACAAACTAATGTTTCGATCTAACTCCTTATCATTCACACATTGCGTAAATATGAGAATGGTTGATACAAAACTACATACAATTGTTAATCATAACAGACTAAGCTTTAAGTCCAACCACTTATCATTCACACTTGTTTAACCATTGTTGTTCAACGATTGTGTTTCACCTATCTGCCTATTTTAAACAACTGGATTTAACGTGCCAGACAACTAATATGCCTTTCCAGGCAACTACTTTCACATGACATACAACTATATACCAATTTTAAACAATTCAAAATAAATTGACAGGCAACTCCAAACCAATTACATAATATTCAAAATACCATGACAGACATCTCAATATCATCACAGAGCAGTCTGAATATACACAACTACTTCACAATTTCACAAGACAGACAACTATCTTCACATTACAGACAACTCAAATGGAATGCCAGACAACGTTTTTCAAATACAGATAACTACAAATCAATTTTAAAGAATTCATTTCACATTACGCAAATCAAATGGAATGCCAGACAACTCTTTTCACTTGACAGACAACTAGAAACCAATTTTCAGGCAAATCCTAAGGAGTCACATCTCAAAGCGATTAAAAGGATCCTCAAATATCTCAAAGGAACTTCGAATCTATGCTTATGGTATCCACGTAATGAAGATTTTAACCTTATTGCATATTCAGACTCTGATTTTGCAGGTGATTTACTAAATAGAAAAAGCACGTCTGGAACGGCTCACTTCCTTGGTCCCTGTCTAGTTTCATGGAGCTCTAAGAAACAAAATTCAGTTGCTCTTTCAACGACCGAAGCTGAGTACGTAGCAGCCGCATCTTGTTGCTCTCAATCATTGTGGATCATGCAACAAGTAAGCGATTACAGGGTTAATTTAAAGTGCACGCCCATCCTATGTGATAACACAAGTGCAATTAGCATATCAAAGGATCCGGTCATGCATTCTCGGACAAAACATATTCATATACGACATCACTTTCTGAGAGATTGCGTGGAAAAGGGGATAATCAGGCTGGAATATTGCAACACCGAGAAACAAATAGCTGATATTTTTACCAAGCCTCTGGGAAGAGAAAGGTTTGAACTAATTAGACTTGAACTTGGTCTAATTAATTCCTAAACTAATTAACTTGCTCAATCTCTTTTGCTTCTGCGTATCGCAAAGAAACTTCCTCTCTCACCGGCCTGTTCTAAGGGGGAACAAATCAGTGTTTTGATTTGGGCATTATTTTGGTTCCTTTTGTTGGATGACAAAAGGGGGAAAAATCAGGTGCCTCTTTATGTGTTGATGCTCTACTATTTATGATTGATTGTTAATAATCTGCAGGGAAACCTCTATTATGGCACCTAATGTTTGTCATCAACAAAAAGGGGGAATTTGTTGAGTATGTTGTTTTGTTGATGACTAACCATGCAGGTGGAACCGCGGACAGAACCGCTCACAGTTCCTTACGGAACAAGGACAGAATTATCCTCAAGACCAAATGGGTATTATTAGTGTGTTGTTGACTAACCATGCAGGTGGAACTAATGCAGAACCATTTCTAGTTCCGTGATATGATTTGAATTAATATTAATTGCACCTACTTGATTTTCAATTAATATACTTTCCTTATATGAGTGCTTATATTTGTCAAGAATATTATTTTAAGTAAAAGTATCTTTCTATGCATGTCCACTCTATATATACGTATTTTGGTTATATGAGTACTTATTTGGGTGGTTATTATCTTTCCATAGTTGACTAGACATCCACTCATTAAATATTGTTTAAATACTTTATGGAAAGTATCTTTACTTAATGTGAGTGCATGATCCATATTTTATTGGCTATATACGTAGCATGCTTGTAATTGATTAACAAATATTTTATTGCCTTACAATTTGAAAAGTCATTATTAGTTAAAATATTAAATGAATATTTTTGGAAAGTATCTTGGCTTGCATGATCTGTAACAACTTATTTGAATATCTTACTTATATGATCGTTGCATATTCAAATTTGTTAAGAGAACTAATCATTGATTGCATAAATATTTTATTGCTACTAACGTCCGTTGCATGCTTATATTAAGAGAATAAATTATTTCCCTTTATATGTGATGATATATATTCATGTGGAATTATCATTGAATATTTAAATACGTAATATACTTCATATCTTTTTTGTTATGTCATGATTTACTCATAGTATGCACGTATCCACTTGCTTCCATATATATATGGTTGACCGAGGATCACCATATTGGAGAGCCCGAAGATCTTTGAATAAAAGGAAAGGTTTTTAAATAACATCAAGGAAAGTCCAAATATTCAACCAAGAAAAGGAGAGGCTACGGATGCTATATATTGGACTGAAGATCAGACGAAAGGGGTGTGCTTGACCGAGCTTCTATTGAGAAATATACACGAGAATATTCACTAAGTCCAAGGCACCTGAACCTGCTCACGGAGTTCCAGACAAAGTTTCTTTTTCCCTCCTTCATATTGTAATTGGGTTTTTGAGGATTGGCTAAGTGTAGCATCCTCAGGTTGGTTAGTGTGTTGTGAGAGCTTTGTTGTAAAGCTGAGAGGCTCTCTACCCGCAAGGTAGAGATGCATAACTCTTCCTAGAGAGGATAGAGTTGGGGTGGCTCAAGGGTAGACTAGGAGAGTTTCCCTTGTAATCATTCAAAGGATTTTTGGTGGAGTTGTTCAAATTCCTCCGAGGGAGGTCGAGGTTTTTTAATCCCTTTGAGCCAAGGGATTTTTCCTCGTTAAATCCTTGTGCACTTTACTATTTCGTAATTCCCTGGACCCCACACTAGAACTGTGCGAAAAACTGCCACGGTTCCACACACACACAATTCACCCCCCTCTTGTGTTGCTAACCGTTTCATCAAGGAGAAAACTGAAA